AAAAGATAGTAGAGTCAGCTGCTTCTCAATGCAAGACCTCAGGTCCTGTGATCCTTGCAGGGGAGTCCCCAAATCACAAGATGCAATGAGCGGTACCATTGGGAGTTGGTGGAGAGGACTGAATGGAGGATTGTGAGCAGGGAAAGGTATTTCCAAGATATTTTTCTTAAAAAGATAAAAGTGAAGAATCTCATTCTCTTTTAGATGTTGCAAATGCAATGGTATAGTAGGTACCAAAAGACACTCTGTCACTTATTTGACATAAGAAAGTGGAAGAATGAAGAACAATATGGAAACTCAATGAGAATAACTTTTGGGGTCTTTGGCCAGGCAGTAACATTAAGAATTACAGGACCATACAACTATTTTCATTAGTGTTACTATGCAGTAAAGATTTTATTGGTAGCAATGGTATTTGATGAAGTTAATAAATTATTTGTTTTAATTTACTCTAACCCCATATCCTTACACAGAAGATTTGAAGCAACTTAAAAATACATCTAGTACAAAAGTTAAAAACACAGAGTCAAGAAGATTGGGGTAAATAAAAAAATTCAGACAGGACTATAAAGATACAATAATAAGATTGCTATGCAAAAAATGCTTCTCAGGATGGGGTTGTAGCTCAGTAGTATAGCGCTTGCTTCCTATATGTGAGGCAGTGGGTTCAATCCTCAGCACCAACTAAAAATAAATAAAAAAAGGTATTATGCCCATCTACAACTAAAAATAATGATTAAAAAAAGCTTCTCTGCAGTTTTGTAGAAATCACCTGTCTGCTGGTGTCTGAGCTTCCTAGTAGTCAAGGGCAATATAATTAAATTTGCATAGTACAGAGTTCATGTAACCATACACAACCACATGGAGAAATCTAACATTTTTCTTGGCTAGGGCTTATATTTAAAAGGATTTTTTCCTATAATTTTCAAAAGAGGATACAGCATATGTATTGACACACTGACAATTATAATGATACTAGATATCATTAGTTAAGCATTAAATTATGTACCAGACATTGTTTTAGCAGCTTAGTATATGGTATCTCACTTGCTAACCACAAAATCTTATGGGGTTGGTGCCATCGTTATCATCAATTTAGACACAAAGAATTGAAGCTCAGAGTGGTTAAATAATTTTGCGACATTACCTATCTACTGAAGTGCTGGTGCAGACATGGCACCCTAGAGCCTGTGACCTTAATCACCACAAAGCACAGTAAATATGAGAGGAATTTTTGGGGGGCGAATTCAATCTAGGCTGATGGTGTGACATTGATATGCGAGCCACTTCAAGCAGTTCTCATGGCCCATCACAATCAACAAAAGGATAACATTCTTTGATATTCTAAAGAGATATTAAGTAATACATCTAAACCATGAGCACCTAATTAGACAGCATGTTTTTCAGAATTGCTCAACAAACATTATTTTACCCAAGAGGCATTTCATAGGAATCAAAGTAGAGAAAGTTCCTGATTATAGTTTCCATCTGAGAATTGGAATACAAATATTTTGTAAAAATAATTAGTCATGTTATTTTACACTTACTGTAAAAGATTTGGACAGGATTGGTTTTTATTATTCCATTACACATCCATTAGCATGCTCCAACTCATAATGGAATCATAATAGAATTATACTTGAACAATGCAAAATAATGTCATTATGTACTGATTCAATTTACTCATAAATAAAATTATCATTTGAGCCTGATGGAATGACTCTCAGTGTCATTAGCTATGTGAAGGAAATAACATACTGGCTAACTAGTTTATAGGAGGTAGATATTTATCAAAACTGTTTAAACAAAAGGCATCAGGCAGGCTGTAACTCAGCATTAGGTAGGCCCTGGCGGACACCCAAGGTCTCTTCTTGCTGGTCATCCATATTGGTGGAGAAGGATGAAATATAAAGCCAAAGGCTTGGTTTCAAATTCCAGATTAGCTACCCACCAGCTGTGCAAACATGGACAAACTGATTTACTTCTGTGAATTGTGGTTTCGTCATCTGAAGAATTATTAATTATTAATATCAATTATCAATCACTGCCCAATGTATTCATTACAGTATTATAAAATTAACATGAAATATAAATGGAACTTTGTAAGCATTAAGTTATCAAGCAAATTATATGATCAGTGTCACCAATGTCACCATCTCTTCCTGCTCGTCACTTGGTCCTATGTCTTCATCGTGGCTGCCCTCCTGAAGATCCACTCTACAGAGGGAGACACAAGGCCTCCACCCGTTCCTCCTGCCTGACTCTGCTCCTCCTCCAGTTTGGATGTACAAGTCGTCTCAGCTTTTGTCCCGGTTCCAGCTACTCTCCTGAGAGGGGTCTGTAGTGTCTGGTTTACACATTCATCACCCCAGGCTGAACCCCTTGATCTACAGCATGTGGAATAGAGAGCTTAAGGATGCTCTTAGAAAAAGAGGAAATCGCAAGATTCTTGCTGCTCAGAACACGATGGCTGTTTCTGGAGAGTGTAGATCAAGTAGCTACTTTTCCACCAAAAAGAAAAATGGATGGATTGTACAAAAGTCTAGAAGCCAAGGGATAAAAGCCAAGGAGTTGTTGCAAATTCTGTCGCTCCTCTTTTTCTGCTGTGGTTGTGTTTTCTGGCTGTGTAAACTCAGTCCTTCATTGCTAAAAGTGGCTGCTTGTGGGGTTTGTTTAAAGGATCATGAAGTGAGACTGTGATGCAGTTGACATCAGGTATTATGTCAACTGCAGCATTTGATCTCTGATAATCTGGATCTCCTTTTGATAATATTTCTCCCTAGAAACCAAATCTGTTTCTTGCTTTTCCTAAAATTTATTTACATTCTTTAGATGGCTACAAGCTAAGATAACCAGTGTGCCAGGTTCCAATGACACAAAGATTGCAGAGTTCTCAAAGGCTGGTCACGTGAGATGGTGTCATCTCTTCTACAACAGCAGATACCAGCATTTCCTAAAATAATGGCTGATTTTCAAAGACTTACTTGGTTTGGATGTCATGAAAAATGAATTCCACGGTTAAGAGTTGAACAGGCGACGGTTCCACTGTGTTCTTGAAGACGTGCAGGTGCACTACCTTGGAGGGAGGTTCTGAAGTGGAACAATTTTAGGAAGGTGTTGGATCATGTGGAAGTTTTCTTTCTTTAATACTTACTGTCTTAACCCAGTGAAGACAACCTTCTGGAGACACTCACAGGAAGGCCAACAGAGAAGACCTGTGGGGGTGACACTAGGTTGAATGATCTGTCAGATGAGTTGTGTCCCAACTAATTTTGACCTAGAAACTAAAAACACATGTAAAAAGCATAGCAAAATTCCAATGATGTAATCATTTCTGTAGTGAAATTCAGGGCTCATTATTCCTGATTTTTGTTTTTAGGAAGGGGACCAAAGAGCTTTGGGGAACATGGCATTCTATGGAGCATCTCAGCCTACAGAGGTAGGTGCTCAGGGCCTCAAGGAGCAACAGAAACATTGGCCGGCCTCCTTGGGTCATAGAGATACAGCACACACCTATCTACTCTGCCTACTGTGCCAAGCGTGGTGTGCAGTTTGCATTTGAGAGAACCAGATTGAAATACTGAGATTGGCCAGAAGCACACAGTGAACCAGTGGGCAATGTGTAGACTGCATTCTGGGGGAGGATGCATTGGTTATAGGAAGAGCCTCATGGCCTCCTAGGACACTGTCACTGTCTCTTGCAAATCCTTTGGAGTCTGATTCTAGAAGATCCACCAAAAGATAGCTATAGGCTG